AATTTACAAGTTGAAAGCTTCTGGAAGCAATCCAAAAAAAATCGAAAATCAAAGGGAGTATTTTGTAGTTAATTTTCTAATCTATCTATCTATCTATATCGTATAAATGAGATCATTCATTTGAATACGGTTCAAGACATGTTTAATTCTTGCACCATATCTATATGAAACACCCCACCTCTTCAACTTAATCTATTTAATGGATAGATTAATTATATTTATTTCACATGCATGGTTATTCATATTTGTATATCTTCTCTTTCCAATTACTTTATATGTAATACATACAAATAGAGAAGAATGTTGTAGTTACCATATATCTAAAAGAAAGAGTTCAACGATAAAATATGTCATGAGTGATACAATCTTCTTTGGTTATATCAAATAACCCATTTGATTGGTTTAAAGAAAAGATATAAAAGTTTCAAAGAAAATAAAATGATATGTCCCATTACCTAGAGGTTTTTCTATATTTTTTAATTCTATAATTTTATTTTTCATGCTATTTATATGTTAAAAATATTATAATTAGATACTATAATTGTTTTGTTATGTTCGATTGTAGAAGTGAAAGATCTTTGAGTAACCAACAATCAATATTGATGTATACTTCATGATGTTGGATCATTCTTCAAATCTAAGAGCATCATTAAGAAAGAGTTCAACAATAAAATGTCATGGGTGGTACAATCTTCTTTGGGTATTATTGGATTAGGTGTCTAAGCCCATAAATATAATTGGTATAAACTTGAATTGATAGTAGCATAGTCCTTTTGGGTTGCCCTCAAACCTAACAATTGAATATGATAGCTTTTAGAGAGAGCGAGAGAGAGAGAGAGAGAATGATTTATTAATTTATTATATGGTTAATAAATGATTTATTAATACATTGTGAGAATAATATATTAATTGGAAATAATATTACTTAATTAATAAATAATCAGAAATTAATTGTAATTAATTTTGGGATTAACTTGATTAATTAAAAGTGCAAGGTTTATTTAGTTATTTATTGAAAGTTGAGGAAATGAGTCCATGGACCTCATTAGATGAAGTGGACGAAAATCACTTGGGCAAGCCTAAGAAATTTCGTCCAAACCATTGCATAAGGATGGGAATGGGCTGCATGATCACCAACCATATGTATTGTGGTTTCCTCCTTAAACCCTAGCTTTGGTACCAAGCTACCTCAGCTATATAAAGGCCTCCCTATCACATAATTTCGTCCATTCTTCCCTCTAACAGACTTGTATGAAATCTTGGTCCTCTCTCTCTCTCTCTCTCTCTAGAGTTTTCCTCTTACTAGCCTGGGTGTGAACCATCATAGGCACAATATTTGTGGTGCTTGCTAGCAAGAGATCTACAAAGGAGAATTTAAGTTATTTGCTATAACAACTAAAAGGTATGTACCATTAAAATTTTCCTTAGTATTTTAAAAAATAACTAGGTATCCCTAGGGTTCTTATTTGATGTTGAAAGTTGTATGCTCAATTAGAGAAAACATAGATCTTCAATTAGGGTTGCATGCTCACATAGGTTTTTGTTTGTTATGATAAAAAACCATCAGTGATATTAGAGCCTTGGTTTGTTTTCTATTGAATGGATTACAATTGTTGAATTGATCAAATTAGGGTTTATGGAAACTAAACCGTTATTGACTAGGGTTTTTGAAATTAGGGTTCCTTTGGCCCTAAGGTTTCAAAAATTAGGAAAGGGTTTTAACCCTTTCCCTTGCCCTACAAGTTTCCAAATTTAGGGTTTCCAATACCATATTAATTTTCGAAATTAGGTAAGGATTGAAACCCTTGTCTTCCTCCCCAAGATAAGCATTTTCGAAAACTAGGGTTTATGGTAAGGATTTCTTATTTTTGTTAATTATCTCCTTATTTGATTAATTGGATAATGATAAGATTTGATTTATCCCTCCTATTTTTTTTCGAAATTTAGTAGGGAGAGGATTATGTTAAATTATCTTGATTAATTTTGATTGGATACTCCTCAAATTGATTTAATAAATTAATCAAATGTTTAATTAATGGATAATTATTAAATCATATGGTTTAATTTTAAATTTAAATTAAATGGTTTTAATTTTCGAATTTTAGTAATTAAACCTAGTATTTTGAAATGTTTAAAATACACCTTATACTATATGTAAAATTAAATGTTTAATATTTAATATATGTATAAAAATAAGTCAGTCGAAGCGCTAGTATGCCTCATTCACGAAGTCAATCTATAGGGGGAGTTTAAGGAATGGACCTATAAATTGACTGCCATTGGGTATCCACTATAACCCACCGCTCCCTTGCTTGGTAGAGGGTCATTAGCTGAACGGGTTTGATAGAACATAACCTCATTAAAATTATAATGATAAAAAGTAACTAAACTATTTTCTAAAATCTCACTCTTAGTTACCTTAGGAAAAATGTGAATTTAATGTTAATCCATGAAATTGCACATTACACTTTATAAGTCGTTAGTGGAGCACGTGTGGCTAACCGACACATTAATATGGGACTAATAAAGGGTGGTAATGGGTGTCTACAAAATTATCATTGATTAATGGAGCGCCTGTGGTTAACATAAACATTAAAATGAGATGATAAATTACATTGAGAATACCAAGCTAATTTGCATGGTTATTCACATATCGTTTGTGATCCTTGGCATCCCAGTCACAAAAGCAAGGGCATAATTGAGATTAAACATGTCATTGATTAGATTCAATGAATCTCAAATGATCTAGGAGTTTCATGAGGTTGAAATTGGTAAATGATTTACTTACCTAAAATAGATTCGAATTTGATTACAGCATCCCTCTTCAAAGTTCGAATTGAAAATATGGATCCTAGACTTAATTTAAATTTATGGCTTAATATTTAAGGATTAAAATCAACTAACTTGAATTCTCTTTTATCCTATTATAGATTTCAAGTTCAGACAACAATGGTCTTCCTCGTTCTTTAGGAAGTGGTTTTCCTCTTCTTTCTAAAGATGATCTTCCACATTTTGATCAAGGTGAAAGTATGTTCCCTTCTTCTAGAAATGGTGGAAATGGATATCATGCTTCTCCAAATCTTCCTCATCCTCCTCAAGTAACTCTCCCTATGTCTCAAGTTGAAAGATACGAGACTACTCAAGGCCTACTAGCATGTAAACATCAAGATGGAAAATCTATGTGCGCGCATGTTCTTGAAATGAAATCACACACTAACAAATTGGATAGAATGGGTGTCGGTTTCCAAGGGGAGTAGGCCATCGCTTTGGTTCTACTTTCTCTTCCTAAGTCATATAATCAGTTTGTTGAGAACTTTTATATGAGCGACCATGACGTGACCCTAATCGATATGAAACATATGTTGATTGTTACTAAAGAAGAAATGCTTAAGAGCACAAGTGAAGCAAAAGTGTTTGAAGGATCTAAGTCCATAATTTCCATAGACATTGACAATTGAGACAATGGTAGCC